TACTATTAATCATAACAAAAGCATCATATAGTGCTTACTATGTGCCAGGGCACCGTGCTAAGTAAGCACTTTACAATCATCGTCTCTTTTAATCTTCACAATAGTCTTGGAAGTTAGGTGCTATTATTCCCATTTTTTGATTGATAAGGAAACTGAGGCATACTATGATTAAGTGACTTGCCCAAGGTCACACAACTAGTCAGTGTCCTAGGCTGGATTTGAACTCAAGTCTTCCTGACTGCAGGCCCAGTACTCTATCCACTACACCACTGAGCTTCCTAATAGTAATATTATCATGTGAAATAGTGGGAAGAGAATTAGCCTCTGAATTGGGAAGGTCTGGATTCAAGTCCTCCTGCTAGGCTCTGTGGCTGTGTGACCCTCAACAAGTTTGCAACTTTCTATGATTGCATTTGCAGAACAATTGCAGGCCTATATTGTTAGGAGGAATCTCCTCATTTATAATCCTCACTACCAATGAAGTCATATAATGTACATCTAAACATGCATGTACATGTATGTGTGTCTATATGGGTGTGCATAATATTTACTATAGTTCTGATTACAATTTTGTTTTAAAGGACAATTTTATAAAATTTTATTAATTCATTATGTTTTCACAACAAATTTCAAGTAGGAAAATGTTGTCTTGGGCTAGATTAATGTGTGAAATGTAACTCTTGGGAAATTCGCATGCATTTTAATTTACTCATGAAAATTAATGGTTTTGTTGATGGCAGAAGCCCTTACTTCAAACAAAAAAAAATTAACCTCTACAGCAAATGTGGAAAGAGAACTATAATTAATGAATTTTTAAACCCTTCTTCCTTACACATTACAAAAGTCTGCTGCCTTACATAGTTATGAATAGTAAAGAGAGTGTTAGCTGCCTTTCTTTCTCTTCTTCTTCCATCAAAACCTAGGTGGAAGGCAAAATGATTTTAAAAAGTAATTATGGCTTTAAAATTCCTATTTGTAACTTGTTGGGCCAATCTCAAGCAAGAAAAAAAGGTTAAAAGACTTGTAGCTGGAGGGAAAAAAGCACAACTGTCAATCATTATGCCAAAAATAGGACTTGTGACTTCCAAGCCTATGATCTCAGTAGAAGGAAAAACGCTCACTTCATCAGACTGATGCAAAACACAACTTCTGTGAAGGCTCTATTATTCAGACCTACTGCGTGAGTACATGTAATTACAAGCTTCTGAAGATGTGTACTATTTATTTTATCATCTGTAATTGCACACAGAAACAGGGCAGGGGTAAAGTATTTACATAACTGTTCTGTGCAGGCTATTTGGGAAGGTCTGTTTAGATATCTTTTTAAGATCAATGACCCATTAGTGCAATTATAGTCTCAGGCCTTTGCGATGCCTTTCCAGTTAACTAAAAGTGATACCATTGATGGAACGGACATTTTGTGCACGTTGTTTAAAACGTACTTTTACTGGAGAGAAATTAGATAAGTAGAACCAAGGACTCATGAAGTCACTTAATAATTTACCTTAATAAAAAACACTTTTGTTTTTAGAAATCAATTAAGCACTTATTAAGCACCTACGATGTTCTGAGGGCAACTAGGTGGTGCAGTGGATAGAGTGCCAGGCCTGGAGCTAGGAATACTCACCTTCCTGAGTTCAAATCTGGCCTCAGACACTTAATAGCTATATGACCCTAGGCAAGTTACTTAACCCTGTTTGCCTCAGTTTCCTCATCTGTAAAATGAGCTGGAGAGGGGAATGGTAAATCACTCCAGTATCTTTGCCAAGGAAACCCCAAATGGGGTCACAAAGAATCAAATGTAACTGAAAAATGACTGAACTACAATTGTTCTTATTCTCATCGAACTTCAGATGTGGGGACCCCAGAAATTATCTTGTCAAAGTGCCTCATTTTACTGCCGAGGAAACTGAGGTTGAAAGAGGTTGGAACTTTCCGAAGGTCACACAGGTAGCAAGCATCAGGCACTCTACTAGGCACTGGAGAAAGAATGCACCTCGTAAGGCTATATGAGAAACAAATTCTCACTAATTCTCTTGACCACTTTTATCAATTGTAAAATCTTTGTATAATTTATGTGTACAGCTATGCATACAAGGACATCCACAATCTTCTACCTCAAGCATGGAAAGGAATCTAGTTACTGAGTTACTCCTTGGTAGTACAATCATGGACTCTTCAGTCAAAGGGAACTTTATGGGTCACTTAGATTCACCAATTAGTCATGCAGAAATTCCTGAGGTAGTTACCCAGCCTTTGCTTGAAAAGTGCCAATTACAGGGAACTCACTCCTTCAGAAAGGAGTGATTCCATTGTAGGACAGCACTAAGTATTAGAAAATTATTTTCTATGGTGAGCCTGCCTGACTTTTACTAATGAATCTGATCTCTCTCCTTTGGAATCATTTTCACTCTGCATCACTGCCCTCCAAATGACATTTTTTCCCAAATAGTCTTCCCTTCTCCTTCACCATCCTCAATATACTTGTTTCTCAGTGTCCTATTTACAACAGGATATATGAGATTGAAGAAAAATAACATATCTGACTGATACAAAACACAGACTACTAACTCCTCAATCTGGATTTTTCTATGTAAGAAGTGTAGGTTTTTAATGGTGATATCATCACATTGTTGGCATAAACTGGAATTGAGTTTAATTGGAACCCCCAAAGATATTTCCTGTGAACTCCTGTCTGGTTATATATCTACCATCCTGTACTTAGTGAAATAAATGGGTTTTTTTTTAATATAAATGTAGGACTTCATATTTATTTCTATTAAATTATATATTGATGGTTTGGGTCTAGCATTTTAACTTCCTGGATTCATTTATCACTTTAAGTCTTTCATCTACCTTATTAGTTATCCCTTCCTGATTTGAATCATATGAAAATATGGTAAGGTGGCCTTCTATATGTTTATCCAAATCACTGATACCTGTTGAAGAGTACCAGGTCAGGTAGAAAGTCCAGTGACACACTACTAGAGACCTCTTTGATGGGTAATCAATCCCTTACTGATCTTTATAAGATTTAACCAGCTTTGTATCTGCTTATCAGTACTATCAGGTCCCATCTCTCCAGTTTATTTTTGAAGACATCGTGAAAGACTATCTCAGATGTTTTGCTGAAATCAATTTACATCATGTCAATGACATTCCCTGTTCTATTAATCTAATTAGCTTATTAAAAAAGGAAATGAAGTTTGTTCTTGTATGGTCTTGGGCAAGTAACTTAATCTTTAACCACCTTGGAGTCCTCATCTGTTAAATGAGCAGGTTGAACTTGATTGAGGTTATTAACTTGGGGTCTATGTACTTATTTTTAAAAATATCTTATTATAATTTTGTAATTCATTTCCTTTGTAATCCTATGTCTTTTATGGTGCAATGGGTAAAATGGCAGGCTGGCAGTCAGGAAGACCTGAGTTCAAACGTGGCCTCAGATACATACTGACTGTGTTAGCCTGGACAAATCACTTAACTTCTTTTTGCCTCAGTTTTATCATCTGTAAAATGGGGATGATAATAACAATACCTACCTCCCAGGGTCCTTGTGATGAGGATCAAATGAGATAATATTTGCAAAGTTCTTAGCATAGGACCTGGCATATATATTTGCAAAATTCTTAGCATAGGACCTGGCATATATGTGTATATATGTTACCCAGCCTTTATATATATATATAACCTCAAATGCCTCTTTTGGTTCTAACTTCTGTGATTCTATTGTGTAAATAAATGATGTTCTTGATTAACACGTTAGCCTCTGTGTGATTGTCACTTTCTCTTCTCAATGCTCCAAAATAGTTGGCCTCAATTATCTGTGCTAGAAATTTGTTAGCAATCAAGCATGCTGGTCTGTGGTTTCTGCCATACCCCTAAGTTATGCCTTTTCAAAATAAAGACAATGGTGTTTTTTTTTCCTTTTTCTAATATTTTGGTACTTCTACTGTTCTCAGAAAATGCCTGCGGAGTCTCTGCCATCAACTCTGAGCTCTTGGAGCACCATGGGAGATCATATGCCTAGCTCTGAACATTTGAACTTATCCCATGCAGCTAGGTGGTGTAGTGAATAGAGACCACACCTGACATCAGGAAGAGCTGATTTCACATCTGGCCTCAGACACTGTGTGACATGTCACCTAACTTATGTTTGCCTCAATTTCCTGGGCAAAATAGGGAGAAATAATAGCACCTACCTAATATGGTCATTGTGAGGATAGCTTACTAGCTTCATGACCCTGGGAAAGTCATTTAACTTTTGTCTGCCTCAGTTTCTTTTTCTGTAAACATAGGGAAAATAATAGCTCACAGAGTAGTTGCAGGGACCACATAAGATAAAATTTTACAAAATTTACAAAAAAAGTACCTAAAGTATTATAGAAATGATAGCTATAGTTATTAATATTATTATCTCATGACTACAAGATGATAATGTTTTTCGAATGCAATGAGGGAATGTGCCATTTATCCTTGTAAGCACCACCCTCCTCTCTGGGGCACCAGAGAAATTTTTAACATTACCACTAGCAAAATTAAAGCTTCAACAGAGCTCAAGATGCTGAAGAGGAAAGAGGGCAAGATTTAGATAATTGTTAATTCACTGTCAAGTCATGAATCTGTCTGAATTCTGAAAGTTGGTTAAAGCAAATCCAGTCTCTGTTCACTAAAAAGCAGCCTCAGTCTCCAGAGAGCTTCATATGACCATTACACAACATAGTGCCGTGATCACATGTCCCCGTCTCCCTAGGAGGCGATCTCTCCCCAGCTCCCCATATGTAGCATTTGTTTCTGTAAGAATGTACTAATCTAATTGGGGTTTAATTTAAGAATTTCACAGAATAGATTGTGTTTTATCATCTTGTCCAAGAAGCTAAAAAAGGAAACGACAAAGATTTAGCTCCAGTCTGTTTCCCTGTTTACAGATTAGATGCAGAAAACAAGTCTACTTGTAGGACATATGGCTGAACGCAATGACTAAAAGCTGGGTGCCATACCTCGCGAATAGCTGTACAAAACTCACTCTGCAGAACTTTTTTGAGGGACTGGAGCTTTTGGACGGGTATCTCTCCAGATTCTTGTAGTTTCTCCAATAACTCAATTGCTCTTGCAACATCTGAATGGATAAAAAAAAAAAGAGAGGGCTGGAATAAATTTCCTCTGAAATAGAATTATAATACTGTATTACAACACAACACCATAAAACACTATTAATAGAATTAATGTTTACTAAACACCTACTGTGAGCAGAATAGTAGCTGGGGGATATAAAAAGTTTAGATAAGATTGTCTATGCTTTTATAGATTTACAGAATTTGGAAGCTGGAAGAGATCTCAGTGGCCATCTGGTCCAACTCATACACAAAAGGAATCCCCATTATAAGATAGCTGACAAGTTGTCATCCAGTCTGTGCTTAAAGACATTCAAGAACAGGAAACTTACTACCTCTCAAGGCAAGCCATTCCACCTCGGGAGAGTTCCAATTTGTAGGAAGTTTTTTTTTTTTTTTTCTTGCTTTTTTTCTGCCATCAAACTTAAATTGACCTCTGCATCTTTCAACTATTCTTCCTGGTTCTGCCTTCTGGATATGAACACAGTAAGCCCAATACCTCCTTTCAAATACATGAAGATAGCTCTTCTCCGGGTTAAACACACCTAATTCTTTCTATCGGTCATTGAGTAACATGGTCTCAAATCCCTTCACCATCCTGGTTGTTCTCCTCTGGACACTCCAGTTTATCAATGTCCTTTTTACACTGGGACACCCAGAACTGAACCCAAGACCACAAGTGTGGTCTGATGAGGGCAGAGTACAGATGGGACTACCACCTTCCTATTCCTGGAAGCTCTGCTGCTCTCGTTTCAGTCATCAACTCAAGATGGCACCAACTTTGGCCGCAGTCACAACACACTGCTGACTCCTGCTAAGTTTGCTGTTGGCTAACCCACATCCCTCAGGTCTTTTTAGAACAACAGTTGTCCAGTCATACCTCTCTTCCCATCTTATACTTGTGAAGTTGATTTTTTTTTATACAAGTCTAAGCTTACATTTGTCCCCTGTTGAATTTCATATTATTAGATTCAGCCTAATGTTCTAAGCCAGGGGTGAGGAACCTGCAGCCTCAAGGCCACATTGGCCTTCTAGGTCCTTGGTGCAGCCTTTTGACTGAGTCCAAGTTTTACAGAAAAAATCCTTTTATAAAGTTCACAGAACAAATCCCCTTAATAAAAGGATTTGTTCTGTAAAACTTAAAACCACACCTAAGGACCTAGAAGGCTATATGTAGCCTGGAGGCCGCAGGTTCCTCACCCATTCTAGGCCATCAAGACCTTTGGATTTGTGTTGTTTCCATCTTGTATGTTAGCTATCTCTCCTAGCTTTGTACCATCTGCAAATTGGATAAATGTACCTTCTATGCTTTCATCCGAGTCATTAATAAAAGGTTAATTCAGTAATAATCGCTGACATCTACACTGTGATTTTATACACATTATTTTTTTTTTACCTTCACAACAACTGTGTGAGCTAGGTACTAGAGTTATTGTCACCATATTATAGACAGGAAACTAGGAGCTGGAAGCTTTAGTACAAAGTTTAGGTTAAGATATTCTTTGTCTTCAGTGATGTTGAATGATGTTTACATAGCAATTTAAAGTTTTCACAGCACTTTACATGTATTATCTCATTTAATCCTCTCAACAACCCTGAGAGGTAGGTACTACAGGAATTATCACCATTTCACAGATTGGGAAACTGAGACTCTAAGAAGTTAAATGACTTGCCTTAGGTCACAGAGATGATAAATATCAGAGACAAGATTTGAACTCCGAGCTTCCTAACTCCAGGTCTGGCACTGTCTGTTGGACCACCCCACCTCAGATAGCTTACAGGAGAATAGGAGGACAAGATCCTTACATGAACAATGGATGGTATTGCTTAAAATAATTATAGAGTTACAAAGTTCTCTGTGGTGTTTAAAGGGAATGATCAGTACGGGGGAAGGGGGATTGGAGAAGGGGAAATATCAATATGACAGTATCCTATAAAAGAAGGTGAGTTGGACTCTAACGATGGACAAGAATTGACAACATAAAAGGGTCTTGGCAGGGAAGGTATTCCAGTTCTAAACACAAGAAATAGTTTAAGCGTAGTCTTTTCAGAAGGAAAATGAAGTGCTTGTTTTAAAGGCTAGATGATGCCATATGGTGCAAGGCCTTGAATGCCAGGATGAAAAATTCAAACTTTACTTGGTGTGCAACAGAGTGTTGCTAGTACAAAGATGTCTGCACCAAGAAATGACATGACCAGTTTTGTGTCTATGAAAGATTATTGTGGTAGATGTATATAGGATGGATTGAAAGGTTGAGATAAAGGGATAAGGGGTAGGAATCTCTGGAAGAAGGTTACTGCAATTATCCACATGAGTAATAATGATGGTGTGCACTCAGGTGGGAGAGGTAAAAATGGAGAGGAGGAAGGAATTCCAGAGATGTGGGAAAAGAACTGCTATTTTTACTGACTTGAAACAACAAAAACTTTATAGAATTACTCACTCTCAGAATGGGAAGAAACACTAATAATAATGATAATAATAATAACAAACATTTACATAGCACTTACTATATGCCAGGCACAATGCTGAGAGATTTCCAAGTATTATCTCATTTGATCCTCACAAGAACCCTACAAGATAACTGCTATCATTGACCCCAATTTACAGATGAGGAAACAGGCATTAGAAGTTAAGTGACTTGCACAGGGTCACAGAGATAGTAAGTCTCTGAGGCCCCATTTGAACTCAAGTCTTCCTGATTCAAGGCTCAGTGCTGTATCCACTGCACCACCTATCTTGTCCAATGCATACATGAACAGGAATACCCTTTGTCCCTGACCAGCCTCCACTTGAAGAAATTTTATGACAGAGAACCCAGTGTTAGCATGGTATAGTAGGAAAAACCATCAAAGAATGAGGGAAGCCTTCATGAATTTGATAACTACTGAGGTAGGCTATGAAGTATTTTAGTAAGCAAAGGTAAAAGAGGACTGAGCTACAGGCAAAAGGCCTGATTTCCTGAATGTTCAGAGGCAAGCAAATGATGCAAGGCCAGACCTAGAAAGAGGATGACTGGAATATAGTGCATGTGGAAGGAAGAAAAGTGAAATAAGGATGGAATGGTACATAGATTGGGACCAGAATGATGGTTTTTAAGAAAGGGAGTAACATGGTCACATCTGTACATTAGAATTATTTTATCAGCTGTGTGAAGAATGGATTGGAAAGAAAAGACCAGATGCAGGAAACCAGCAAGGACATTGTTAAAAATAGTCTAGACACAGGCCTCTGATAGGTAGCTAGAGAGATCACAGATTTACAACTCGATGGGAAATTTGAGTTTATTTAGTCCAATTCCCTTATTTTACAGATGAAGAAACTGAGGTCCAATGAGGTTATAGCCCAGATCATACAGGAAGTAAATGGCAGGAGGTGATGAGAACCTAAATTAAGATAAGAGCACTCTGAGTGGACAGGAACAGTATGAATGGGCAGATTCAAGCCATGTGTACCCCAAGGAAGTTAGGCAGAAAGAAATATCCTACATATACCAAAATATGCAGAGCAGCACTTCTGTGGAATAAAAGAAATGGAAACAAAGTCCATGTGAAATCAATTGGAAATGACTAAATCAATTGAAAAGCAGAGAGAGGTAATGAGTGGACAGCTGGCCTCATAGTCAGAAAGCATAGAATTCAAATCCCCATTTCTGATATCTACTGGATGTGACTAGGCAAATCACTCTACCTCTCAGTGTCTCAGGCAACTCTCTAAGACTAAGTTGCAAAGCAGGTGCCTCTCTTGCATGTTAGAAGGAATTTCTTTAGTGAAACATTCCCTGTATGCATGAAATCAAAGATTTGGATGGAAAAAAATGATGAATGTGAAGTTTTCAGAGAAGCATGGGAAGCCATGAACTGATCCAAAGTGAAATAAGTAGAAACCAAAAAAAAAAAAAAACCCAAAACCAAACCAGTATCAGCAATCATTACAACAAAGCAGAAAGGACAAACAAAAATGAAACTTTTCACTTTCTGAGTGTAACAAAGTTATACTCTATTCCCAAAGAAGAGATGAAAAACATACCTTCCTTGGAAAGAACAAAGAACAATGAAACTTTTTTACTTTATAAGTGTAATAATCAAGGTGGTTCCCAAAGAAGAGATGAAAAATGTACCTTCCTTCCTTCCTTCTTTTTAGGGGTGGGAGACTCTAGATATAGAAAATGTCATATACTGGAAGACTTCATTGTTGTGTGTGTTAGTTTTGCCATCTACCTATTTTTTTCTTAATTTTTGTTACAATGGATGGCAGGGTTGGGGGGGGGAGGAAGGATATATTCAGAAAGGATGATGTAAAATCAAAATATATTAGTAGTTTTTTTTAATTAAAAATGTTGAACCAAGATCAAGATCAAGAGATGTTATATGACTGAGTTCAGGTTATACAAATAGTTAGTAGCCAAGCTGATCCTATACCCTAGACCTTCCAACCTTGAGTCAAGTGCTCCATCCACTGGAACACACTATCCTCAAGTCAGGATTTTGAAAGAGACAGTAATTTCCTTCTCTTTACAGTAAGTTTCCACACTGCAGATCTGAGAGAGCAAAGGGCATGTAGTATTTCAGGGAGTTATGACGCTGTTTTTTTATTAATTTATTTTGATTTATCAATAATCATTTCCATATGCTTTTGAGTTTAAAATTTTTCTCCCCCTTCCTGCCGATCACCCTCCCCAAGATGGCGCACAATATGATATAGGCTATACATTTACATTCATATTAAACATATTTTCACGTTAGTGATGTTGTAAGTAGAAATTAAAACCAAAAGAGGAACCATCAGAAAGAGGAAACAAAACTCAACAGAAGAGAAAAATAAATAACAGTTTGGCTTCCATAATTCTTTCTTTGGGTGTGGATAGCATTTTCCATCACAAGGCCTCTGGAGATGTCTTAGATCCTTGTATTGCCAGGAAGGGTTAAGTTTGTCAATATTAGTCATCACACAACATGGCTGTTATTGTGTACAATGTTCTCTTGGTTCTGCTCACTTCACTTG